GTACCAAAAAAATACGGTGTGGAATCAAGCTGTAATCAAAAAATAAAAAAATATGCTCCTTGTTTAATAACTCTAGCCAAATTTATTATGAGGACTAATTGCCACAAACTTCTTTCTTTGGAATCCCCCACTGAGACAACAATAAAGGGGAAAGTGGACACAATGAACATCCGCTTTTTCTTTATATTACTCTGAGTAAACAAATAACCTATGAAATAAATTATGCGTTATACCAAAAAAACCAAAAACAATATTTTAAAGATTTCACACATAATTCTTCTTTATGTAAACGCGCTGTTTCTGATATTCCATTCGTCCACTGCATATTCCTGAGGCCGTTGGGATCCATATTAAGAAACCTTATTTATGTATCCATAGGAAGCTGGTTCTGACGCTCTCCTTATCTCTGCCATCAAAGTTATAATGATCCTCAATTTGTTGTGGAATTTTCTTAATTTTATTTGATATTCTATTTGCTACTACATTTTTATGCTTATTATAGTTTATGCATCTTTAGTGAACTGTAATTCCATTATTATTATGTCATTATTATTGTTCCTTTTGACTTAGAATAAAACATAGGGCTTTAACAAGAAAACTCCACTTTGCTGTATTTTCTGCCATCTTCTTCAGCTGGGTCCACGATTGCTCAAACTCTCTCATCTCCTCCACACACGATCTCCTCCATGTCACACCAACGAAACACTTCTCGCTCCTTATTCAGACTCTATTCAAGCAATGACCTGCAACGAGAACGATGTCTTTCGACGGTCTCCACTTTGTATGCCCGATCAGCCTCCATTTTCTCCTACATACTCGTTGATCAATCGGCTTTTGGTTGGTTTGCTCCCACAGTTTCTTGTTACTAATTCTTTCTCACCATTCGATCCTCAGTATGCAGCGAAGGCAGCTGTTCATAAAAGTCTGTAACTTACTAGAAATCCTTTTCTTGATACACAGTGCAAGTTTCTGAGCCTTATAGAAGAACCGACTTGACATTATTGTTGAAAATCTAAATGTTGTTTTCCTAATGCTGAGGAGTGCAGAAGATTTCCAGGTAGGTTTCAGGTTGATGAAGGCATATCTTCCCTTCCCGACTGCGGCCTGCTTTGAAATCTTCACCGTTCCACCAGCTGTGGTTGAAACCTTGCTTCCTGACTGTATAGATGAAGGAAGTAACCTCTGTTAAATCTCTCCAATTGATGGTGATTGGTGCTGGTTATTGTTGTTGCTGTTGCTATTGGTTGGTTATCTTCATCGCCTCCGTCTTCTCTATGTTCACGTAAAGTCCTGTCTTCGCTACCTGCTTCCTCAACCAGTTTGTTGCTTTTCACCTGTAAGTCATCCACAGGCGCGATCCAGATCTTCTAAAGTCTTCTTATCAGTGGCCCAGCGTCTTTCCGTCCTTTCACTCCCACGCACGGTCTGACGCATAATCCAGTTCATCACAATTGAGAATATCATTGGTGATAATAGTCAGGCAGCCAGCCTTGTCTTACTCCTTTATGCACTTTGAACGCCTCGCTGAGTTTTCCGTTGTCGACCACCTGACACGTGTCACTATCATATAGCCAGTTGTTGAGTGAGATTGATAAGGACTTGAAGTACTCCATAGTGTTAAAGTGTAGTTCCCAAATTACATCTCAGTCAACACTGTCTAGTGAAGGCCTTTTCGAAGTCAATGAAGTTGATCTCACTTAACAAATGGATAGTACTCAAAAAACACTAATATTGTTAGTGATAACTATTCTAGAATATCCTTTGTAGAGCCAGAAGAGCAGATTACCGAAAAGGATATTCTTCGCTCAACTTTTTTGTTTTATAATTTTATTAAAACGATAATAAATAATAAAATTCCACAGAAAAATATGTAAAATATAACTAACGAATAAAATAGAAATAGTAGTGTTAAAACAAATCCAACAATAAGTAGGTTGCACTGAATAGAGAACCGTAAATATATATTGTGCAAATTTTCCCTAATAAGTATCTGTCCTTCAAACAGAGATTGAATACGACTGTGTTGATTGATGCAGGCATAAGGAATAGTAAATACATGAAACAGTCATAATAATAATAACAGCAATAAGCCATCCACAATACATCCATTGTCATCTAATTTATACTTCTTGTTTGAATGCACTGATAATGAAATAGGCCGTGAGAAAAAGATGGTAAACAAATAACCCCCAAAGGAAACTCTTAAAAGTGGAGTGATGAACGTACACAGTAAGTGGTGTGAGAAAAATGAAGTTGTATAAAAAGCTAAACAAAATGAGATTAACTCAACATAAAGGCGAGTGTAAGATATCAGAAACAGTAAAACAGAGTATTAATAACGTCACCGGGCATTTTTTATACAACATGGAAGTCAAACAACAGTATGGTAGTGACAGAGGGGGAGAGAAACAGGGATGGCGGCAGAAATGAGCTTGTTTATCCCAGTGAAACAGTAAATTCAGAGTTTTGATTTTTTTAATTACAGGAAAGAAGTAGTTGACTTCGGTTTGTTGTACCATCTGACTGATCACAACCTCGAGCTGACGATGACGACAATACTGTGATACACCCAAGGACTGATTAGACAGTGGTGTCTTAGTTGTTGCTGTTGTCAATATCACTACTACTATCATTACTTGCACGCCGACAACTAATATTAGTAGTAGTAGTAGTAGCAGTATCATTGTTATTTCTCTTCGTATTATCTGTAAGATATACCACATCTACATTTGGTTTTGGCATACAATTATGATGAAGGTGTTTAATAGTGACAGTCTGTTTAAATCTCGGTGTAGTTAGCACACAAACATTCGAAGAAAATGTCAATGTTTCATTCGATTTACCACCATCTGAAATGTACTCATTATTTGGAGTAGCAACAGTGGTACTAGTAGTCGCAGCAGTTGTAGTTGTACTAGTGATAGCACTAACATTCACCTCTGTATCATTACTACAAGTATTCACTGTTTCGAAACTATTAGTTGATGTAAAGTTCGAGGATTGGATAAGTTTTTCTTCAGACGTCTGTGGTTTCAGAGTCTCTAATGAATCATTTTTAAGAGATTGAAGACTATTCGATTGTGAAACACTTTTACCAGTAGGAAGTGAATTGTATTTTTTACTTTTAATTGAATTTTGTTTTTTATTTTTATTATTATTATTCTTACTTTTACTGATGTTTGCTGGATTAATTGGTAATGATGATTCATTGAGAATTGATGGTGAGCGGGCAGTGATAGTAGAAGCAGTCGTAGTTGTGGCAGTATTAGTTTTAAGCATATGATAGGCTAAACGATTTGGATAATAGGGTAGGTTGTCATCAGATAGAGCACGATTGAGTAAGTGAAATTTATGCAGCAGACCACGATTGAAGCGACTGGGGGATCTAAAAAAATAAAAAGATAAAATGAAATACCAGTATATGTGTAAAACTTGGGCACTGTGCTGGTAAGTAATTCCATATTGGTTTGTTTATTATATGTATCACACAGTCAGTGAAACAGTATCATTTACTGGATGACAAGGTTTCGAACAAAATTTATTGTTCATAATCATTATATCAGTTTTAATCACATGACTTCGAAACTTGAGTTTTATAGTTTTCTTTGTCCCCTCCTATTTGTCGTCTTTGGGGTATTCGAATTTTCCAGATATCTGGAACAGGTGTTTAAACGTTCAGCCCCACCCCAAAAGTATGGTGGAAATATGTAGATGACACATTCACTCTACTTAGAATACAGGATACATATAGATTTTTCGAACACATTACCTCAAAGGTGGAGGCAATTCAATTCACTTATGAATTGGAAAATCAGGAAGGGGAACTTCCAGTGTTAGATTTTAGCGTAAAGGGGAAAGAAGATGAGAAGTTAAACGCTAGCGATTATAGGAAACACACACATTCAAACAGATATTTGGATTTCCGACCATCCCATCCTGTGTCAGTGAAAATAGGATTGGTGAAATGTTTAGGTGACAGAGCACAAAAACTAAGTAGTACCAAGGAAAATCTAAGACAGGAAATGAGGCATAATAAGACAAGCTTTGAAACTTAATTATTACCCTGATAAATTAGTCAAAAAGTAGGGGAGATGTAAAGATGTAAAAATAAAATAAATATTGATAGTAGTGATAGTGATAATAATAATAATAATATTAATGACGACATACATGTCAAACATGCGCAAGATAATGACAACACCAACAATAAGGAATCTAAATCATCAGTAGTAATTCCATACAAGGAAGGAACCTCGGAAACCTTACGCAGAATTCCTAACAAGGCAGGAATAAAAGTGGCATTCAAACCCACAAACTCAATTAGAAACAGGCTTTGTCGGTTAAGGGATCCTGTGGAGCCTTTAAAAAAGACAACTTAGTTTATGTAATATACTATTCGCAGTGATTGTCAGGTCAAATACATGGGTCAAAGTAGTAGAACAGAGGCAGTCAGACTAGTAAAACATAAAAACCTACCAAAATCCAGATTAGCTGACCCGAATAAGATAAGTAATCTAGAGAATAGTTCAGCTATAGCACTCACTGCATGCAGTTAGACACAACACAGCTATACAATAGGATGGGATAAGATGACATTATTAAAACCCAACATAACAGGGTGGAGGGAGAGATTGACAACGGAAGCTTTCATATAACCGGTTCCCTTTGTTAGTTTGAAGAGAGAAAGAACGAACATGTTTGCAGGATAAAACGAGCTCGTTTTACTTCGTGGATACTCATCAACTGCATACATCCTAAACAAAATCAAATTATAAGTTTCAAAAAAGTTTTGGAACATACTTTTCCATAATTACTTGGAGTTATAGATAGAAGGTATAAGGAACATTATTCCAGAATTTGGTGTAGGTAGACAGATTATTCAGTGTCAAAAAACAACTAACTATGTATAGTGGAATTAGATTAGAGGGGTTAGAGTTCAGATTTCTATTGGAAAACACAGATTGGTTAGAGGCATATTACAGGGTCAGGGTCAGAGAACAGAGTAAATTTACGCATCTTGTGGTGGAGAGATTAAGAGGGTTGGGTTGAATAGTGAAGTAACATTTTTTTAACGTAAACAGGCAATTAAGTAGATTTAGAAACTTGAAAGTTAAAAGTGAATAGAATGTTTCGTAACAAGACAAACACACAGGCATACTGACAGAAAGGCAAACACAAAAATAAAATAAAGTAGAATTAGGGTTACCAGGGTAGTGAAAGATTAGTCAAACTATCTTTCTGTATACAGAGGTCTAGTTGAAGTCTCTTGATAGAACGAGCTCGTATTATCCTGCAAACATGTTCGTTCTTTCTCTCTTCAAACGGAAGCTCTGTTTATTGAATCAACTGCAAACACGTGTAATAGGAATGATTCAATACCTGTCCAGTCGGATATCTTGAGAATTCTACTACTAATCCTACGACTACAAATAGAAGAGAACAAAGAAAACTATAAAACGCAAGCTTCGAAATCGTGTGATTATAATTGATACTATGATTATGAACAATAGATAAATTGTGTTCGAAACTCTGTCATCCAGTAAATAATACTGTTTCACTGACTGTGTGATACATCTAATAAACAAAATAATATGGAAAATGAAATACCTTCAACATTTATACAAGTCAACTGACAAGATATCAAACTGGTAGTTTTGCGTTACCTTAAATCTAATTAACAATTTACAATTTGGTTAGCAGTTTGCCATCTGAACAGATGATATGAGTTATATTCAACTACTCATCTCAATTAATCAGTAGTATATACTTTTATACAAAATTTGTGTCTTCTTTCCTTTTTAACACTCACCAACAAAGTAAACAAATTTACGTGTCATATAAAGTGAACACTTGAGAATCAGCTTACTGCCACCTATATTTAGCAAGAAAACCAGTTGACCATCTCAACCCTAAAGCCAAGTAGATCTGTTAAGTTAAATAGCTTTGTGTGTTTTTGGAAGTGTTTGTGGGCCAATGTTAATTCCTAGTCGCCCGCAGCAGTTGATTTTATTCTTGGGGTAACTGAAAGATGAAGAGAATTAGTGCTGCGTGACCTCACAGCCTAGTAGATAACTTCTTGAAGCCAGTCGCACACGGTCTATTCGAATTGCGCTTCTGGAGTTGCCTCTATAATACGATCTAACAGCCGGTAACAGAACACCACAAGGTAAATTAGGATGTACAACTTTCGTAGTCAACCTTCTCTAACCCTCCATCACCTCTTCAGAGAGGCAGGATAGCTGGAAAGATGGTTATCTGAGAGAAATACAGTTGTTACATTAATATTCTCCAGCAGTACTACATCGCCTACAGACTACCAAAATAATATAAACAATGTGCACAGTGATAGCGACTGCTTTTAGTTCAGTCATTATTCAAATGAACTTTCTGGCATGACAGGACATACAGTGACATCAGTTCCAGTCAGTAAAACTCGGTGGAATATTGCTAAATGAAAGCCCGACCACAGCGTTTGAGTAGCAGCTACCGTTAGGGCTGAGATAAATAGTTCATATGCTTCAAATTTATCAGTTAATGAGAAATAGTTCACAAGACTGAAAGGTCAAATATCGAGTCAGCGAGAGGATTAATATCAACAGAAATGAATACTAGGAAAGACTGATATCTAGTTACGAGAGCATTTCTAAAGCCCATTTCAAAATAAACTGAGCTCTAAAGACATTATTCAGAAAGTCGAGAAATAGGAGCTGAAAACAGGCGACATAGTAAGATAACAGATTTATGACCACAAGTGTCTTTGTTCAGTTGCCCACTACTTCCCACTAGAAATTCAGGCAGCCGCTGCTCGTAGCCCGTCACCAGTGAGCAGTAGACAAGCTGGCCAGTAGCGGTAGACAACAAGGAAATTTGACAACGAAAAACCAAGAACCTGCCGTTTGACAAATATGAAGAAGGAAATCTAGGTGGACGTTGAATGACATCAAACGCTAGGCCGCTAAGCTCTTGAGTGGAAACCCGAATAAGAAACGACGAATGCAGCTTCCCAGGCTGACATGGAAGAGGTCGTGTGTGGTGAAGTCAGTCAAATAAGACTGTAGAAAAGAGAGTGGAATGGAGATGTATTGCCGAAGATCTGTGTTCTACTCTGAACTCAACAGAATAATAATAATGATATAACAGTTTCAATGAACGCTCCGTCGTCTTATCACTTCATCTGCCTTAAGATAAACAAGATTATCATTGGACACTTAATACTTATATCAGTAGCCAAGCCTTATACATATCAGCACAAATGAATTTATATTTTCTCATGTTTTCCGCAGCGTATAAATCTAAGACAATGGACATATATAAAGAACCATGAATCTACTGAGTATGGAGTGGTACAAATCTCATATATCTTCATCAAACAGACTGTTGGGCATGATTCATATTTGGAATTAGTAGTGTTCTCTGAGGTGGTTGGTTTAACTGCGAAGCTTTCGTCGTCCTTTTGGATAATATCTTCAGCGCAAGTTTTAGCATAAAATGAATTGATTTAAATTGGCCATGAATGATAGAATTTAAATCAGTTCGTTTTATGCCAAAACTTGCGCTGAAGATGTTGTCCAGAAGGACGATGAAAGCTTCACAATTCAACCAACCAGCTCAGAGAACACCACTAATTCCAAATCATCCACCTAAGCTACAAATCTTCTCTTTTATTTCACGGTTCGTATAGTCTAGATGGTAACTTTAATTTTCACCTGGATGGTGACTAGCAGTCAAACACTAATCAATGTTATTCAACAACCACTTGCAGTTCAATGCAGTCAGCACTGAGCTGGGGCTGCTTAAACTACACAAGGCTACACAAACTTCAGGATAAGGAACGGGACTCGGACTTGTGACGCACTAGAGATTAACATGATGTTACTTGGTTGATGATGACTAACAGTTGGGTCCAGATTGTGCTTCTCGTCCTATTTGGGACTCGTTGGCCCCAGAATCCGTCTGGATCGAATGGTGCATGAACCTATTTTGATCACTGACAGTCATGAGAACGTAGCTCCTGATACCGCACCACTGCACTGCCTTGTGGATCAGATTTCAACAAGAAAGGCTCGGGGTGTGGCTCCTGATTACAACCACCCGGGAGTCGGTTCAGGCGTCCAAGCAGTAGTGTCGGAACCCTCGCACAAACATCAAGATTTTGTGTGGTGCACCTCTTGCCGCCTATAATGTACCAAGTTTGGGTTTAAATATACACAATATATTATTATCAATATTATTCAGCAGCTAAAAAATATTAACATGCAAAATTCAGCTATTCAACCATCATCAAGATAATAAAATAGGGCGTAACATTCTCGACTGAAGCAAAAAATGTATTTAACCATGAACTTATTTATCATAAATCAGATTTTAAAAAATATCTTTTAAAGGAAAACTCTTAATCCTCTATCACATCATTTACTTTAAATCTCATCTTAACCAAAGTTCATATTTCAAAAGTTTTAAATTAATTCAATAATAATGCTATTTATGCAATCGATTGTAAAAAATCGTAGCTATTCAGTCCGGAGCATCGAGTGTACAATAAGTAAAAAGTATGACAAGGATGTTTGCCTTCTATCTATCGATGTTAGTGAGAAATATTGAGGTTAGGCTTCAGTCGAATGTTAGGTAAGGAGAGTAAATCAATCGATGAGGTTGTGAAGCTACACCGACTTAGATGGCTGAGACACTTATTGCACATATACGAGGCCACCACCTACCTCAACGAGGAATGTAAGTTGATAGAAGATTAGGTTTGAAAAGCATTAGGGGTAGTTAGATCAGAACATCAACTCATCAATAAATGAAGTCTTTAATTGAGAACTATGTAGTAAGAAACCAGTGTCGAGCATCTAGTCCTTTATTTAGTGCAGACTGAATTCTATCAGTCAAGTTTGCGATGTGAACCTAAACGGCTTAGTGGTAATGTCATTGACTAGGACACTGGGTAACATGGGTTCGCATCTCTGAGGGAACATGAGTTCTTTCAAGACTGTAGATATGCCTTGTTGACTGATGAGCGCCAACTAGCACGAAACCTAGGTCCAAGGAGTCCTATTAATTGCCTCCAATTATCTAATTACAACCCATGAAGTCTTCGACTGTTGGTTTGAGTCGCGTAGGTAGATGCAGACTGCCTGGTTAGGGCCCCTCGAAAAACTAACAACCAGTGGTTGGTGACTATCGGTGATGAGATGGCTCTAAATTTTCCTGAATGGTGAAGATTTATTCGCTCTTTGTAACGTCCCAGGTCAACCAAATCCTTGTGTTTTTCCATGATACTATTCTTTCTCCCATACATTTCTACTTATTATTGCCCTTCAGAATCTTTGTTTTCTCTCCTCTGTCGACTGGTGGGTGCTACATGGAGTATGATAATCATAGAGACCAGTCAATCATAGGAAATTCTTATGAACTATGATGGTTAAACTGAATTGAAACTATTTATTTCTATAAGCCTAACCTTCTCAGCGTGTCTGTTTTTCACCTAGCACCCTATTTTTCGCGTTATTACTAAGTCAAGTCTTTATCATAGTTCTTATAAAGTATAATAAACTATCTCTTCGTAATCATACCTTCACTTAGTGATTCCATGGCACCTATGACTGAATGATTTCCATCAAAGAGGTGGCACAGTGGTTAGGACTCTCGCCGACCATGCACATGGTCCGGGGTTTGATCCCCTACCGGCGCACACCCGACATCTGTGGTCGGCCTGCAAAATTGGGCTACCGATATCACATGCTGAAAATTCCATACTTATACCAAAAATACGGTGTGGAATCAAGCTATAATAAATAAAATAAAATAAATAAAAAAACTAGACCACTATGATGATAATCACCACATTCTGGTGATCGACTGTCAAGCATAATTCATTCATATACTGAATATCTCTGTGATTTAAGGAGTGAGTGATATTTATTTCCTTCGTGTTCCACAGTGGAACATAGGGCTTCAAGCTAGATGCTTGAAGCTTCTCTAGCAGTGTTTATTTTTACAGGATGGGGTTGCTAGCCTCATGCCCAACCTTTCCTCTTCACCAGCATTATTTCTGGCTCAGCGAGGTAAAAGAGTGCGTCGGCCGGGGATCGAACCCCAGACCATGTGCATGGTCGGCGAGCGTCCTAACCGCTATACTACCGACGATCATAATTTAGAATAATTTAAGGATGCGAATAATACCTCTCTTGAGCCCCCAAGTGTAACATAGGGCTACAAGTTAGACTTTTGAACTTTCAGTAATGGGTGGGCTTCTTTTCCTGGTTAAGGTTGCTAGTCTCATGTCCAACCTTCCATCTTTACCAGGCTTGCTACCTGTTAGGTAAGAACTGAGGCTGTGTTGGTCAGGAATCGAACCACCGAACACATGCATGGCTGGAAAATATTCTGTGTATTAATAAATACAAGATCTGTGTTAAGGACTTCACGATAATTGACTTTTAACGTTTAACAGACTATTCTATCTATCCATCCACTTACCCGTCCCCTCTCGGCAGCTCTTAACTGCACCGACTCAAACGAATGACTCAAGTAAACGGAATTACTAACCCTGATCCACCAATCAGATAAGCCCGTAGACAATACGTGTAATTTAAACAACCTGTTTTATAGATTTCAATGTTAGTGTTAAAAAATTGCTATATGGAGTAACTTTCTTGTTTGTGTCCCATCCAAAAAACTGTATATCATGCTGTTTGGTGACCTATTCATTGTTCTATACTATGCATAAAGCTAAAAATGGAAAGACACATCCTCTCGGACAGATTTTCTGTAACGACAGTCTGGATATCAATAGCAGTTGCATAACTCTGTAAAGAGACATTACTCCTTCACACCTACAAGCTTGCTATAAGCCTATTATGCCGACAGTACTCGAAAAGTACCTCTTGATGGAATTCGCAACGTAATTCGTGTGCTGCATCTACATTTCACCTGGTTCCTTATAGTTTAGAATAACCCCCACCCAGCCACCGGAGAACTTGAATTCATGCACTAATGTTCAAGATACAGCACTGACTAGTCTACTTATCACATTTACATTAATTTACGTATGATATCTGATTACAATTCCATTAGACATCGAGTTTAATCAAAACTGGAACTAATGAATCAACCATATACGGTAAGAATTGAAGATGGAACAGACGTTCTAATGGCATCATATTCCAGTAATATCCCATAGAGCAACCACAACGGGAAGTGACAAGTTGGCCGTGGGTCCAAAAATCACATAAGGGCGATCACATGAAAAGGAAACGTAAGCGTGTAGGCATAGCAGTCATGGATCCAGTGGAAAATAATGCCCAAAACCCTATGTTCCTTCCATTCAGAAAGCAAAGCCTCAGGATGGTTGGGGGTGGGTGCCTTGCTCTTCGGGTTGGCCACCCCTCCGCACACCTCTTCAAATGCTCCCATATGACCGGGCGTCTTACATAGCCTCTCCTGAGGAAGTCCTACTCACTGCCTTCACGTGGCGGAGGTGTTTTTCACCAAAGTGCGAGGGCGAAAGCGGATTCCCGGCGCTCTTCACCGGGTTGACTGTCCATTGGATGACAGTCTAGGGGAGATGGCTAAACCCTGATTCCAAACCTCCAACGACTGGCGTATGAAGCTCACTGGAGCTCACCGGCTGACGTATGGACAAAGGACTTGTTCGATGTCCTGGATGTCTGGCCCCATTCAAAAAGGCGTATGAACCGAACTCCGGTCACCGGCTGCCAATGGATAGTGGACTCCCTACTCCACTCCTACTGCCTTGTAGGTCACACTTGTTTGTGTGAAGGCTAGAGCTGCACTCTCAAACAAAAGGCCGAGCGATTCTGGGAACATCACTCGTACCAAATTCCCATGAAACTTCATGAACCCTCTTACAAACGACTCTCAGCATGCTACGGCGTTCCCGTAGATCGCCGCGCCTGGGCAGCGATGATTCGAGATGTTCATGAAGCCGGCTCATCCTCCCGTAGGAGATAGCCGAAGTAAAGAAAGAAAGAAGATTCAGAAAGCAATAGAATGAATAACAACAATAATTTTTCAAAAAAAAATTCGTGGATATATAACAAAATTTTTCCTGCTTTTCTTTATTAAACATGTTATAAATTTACAAAAAAACAGAAATCAAACAATAAAAAATAAAATAAGCTCTAAGCTAAGCGCAACAAACCACCATGTACAACAAACATGTACACATGAATATAAATACCATAGGATGGGGGGTGGGGCAGGGTTATATAAGGCAATTTTAGTTGGAAATATTGTAGAGAAAAGCCTATCTCAAAAGAGAGAATATAGATGAGACATAGGTGAGTGAGGTGAGACTCAATACACAAAAAACTTGCACATGTATTCATTTATGTATAAATAATAATTATAATAATAACCGTAATACTAAAATAATAATAATGATAAACACAAATCAGAAGAATTAACATGACGTTATATAATAAGCACACATTCTTCAAGTGTATAGAAATAAAAATAATAATAGTAATAATACTGTTGATTAGATAAGCATTAAAAGTTATGAAAGAGCGTGATATTTAAGTGTGTAGGTTGTTTGGTTGATACGAATGCTGAATATTGAACACCCATATTTATATATATATATATATATATATATGCATATGTACGTATATACATTATGATGACCAGTATAATATAACAAGAAAAATTAATTCTGAAGGTGGAATGTGTTGAAATTGGTTAAGATGGCGAAGAAGAAGAAGAAGACGAAGAAGAAAGTTGGCAAGTTGTCACAACCCATCATTGCTAATAGCATTATTATTATTATTATGATTGCTAGTGTTTATACTACTATTATTACTATTTTTAGTAGTAGTAGTAGTAGTAGTAGTGGTGACAGTAGGACATCTTGACTCATTTGTTTCTGTTAGGCAATGATTATTCTCATGATTGTTAGGCATATCACCATCAACGTCACCGACACCAACACCATTTACACCGTCTTCAGCATCGGAACAACAACCATAAGCAGAATATTCTGCAGAGGATCTAGAATAAGATTGACTAAAATATTGTTTTGAACCAACAAAAAAAAAGACAAACAAAAATTAGGATGATCATGACGATAATGATAAAAAATGATGAGGGTTATTATTATGATGAAAGTAAGAGATGTGATGTGATGTGTTTACAAAATAAGGACAAAATCACCATCACCACCAAAAACAACAGCAGTATCAGTGAAGACACCAACACTAACATAATGGGATAGAAAAATAACAATAATAATAATACAGAGAACGTTTTATGCAGCACACCTATGTTTGTCATTCTCTAGCCGACGAATGATTGGGACGCAAACGAAGGATAAGCTTGATAGTTTTGCCACACATCTATGTGCATTTATCAATTCAACTGCACCTGCGGTGACAGTTATATTGGGCACACTACTACTAGACAGCTTAGCCAACGTGTCACTACTGAACATCTCCCATCGTGGTTTGGCAAAGGACAGACAAAAACAATTCGTAGCTCAATTTCATCACACTTAATTGATAGTGGTCATGTTATCGAGAAAACGAGAGCCTTCAAAGTGATTCATCGTATCCCACCGAATCTACTTCATATTCGTTTACTGCACACAGCTGAGGCAGGCGATAGGCATTCCAACTATTAAACCTAAACTATGCTTTCAAAGAAGTTCGTACAGCCATTGTCATTCCCTTGGCCTATTAAGACATAACCAACTAATCACTTTTACACTACCCTTTGTTTATATTTTCAACTCCTTTCTTATCATCCCTTAATCTTATCTTCATTATAAACGTGTTTCATTTACTTCCCTTACAATCCAGCATTACTTAATCGGTTCATTTGTTTTTACTAGCCTTTATCGACTACTTCCACCTGAACAGTTGTTTGTTTAATCATTCTATTTTTCATTATTCGTATTATCACAGATTGCCTCACTTTTTCATCCTTATTATTAATAAGACAACTTTTATTATTACTATAATTATTATCATTACTACTATTATGACTAATTGCACAATTTATATTCACCATCGTATCATCCTATAGACAAAGCACCATGATTGGTTTATATTTGAATTTTTATTTGTAAACTTATATATATTAGAGTTAAGCCTGATGAGATCTAATTGAAAACAATATTGTTCGCTTAAATGTGTTGTTCTAAATAATAATAACATCAACGGTAACAGTATGTATTAACCCATCTACACACTTCATAAGGTAAAATTATAAAAATAACATATATTAAAAATCACAAGGGGGCGGGGAAGTTATTTCCTATCCGGTCTCTGCTACCCCCTGTTTATGGCTATGGGAAATGGTCATTAAAATTGGAAGACTGGCTGTCTTTGACCACAAATTAATTGTTTTTTTATTTTGTTTCTTTATGTTCCGCGTGGAACATAAGACTTCAAGCTTGAAGTCTTCAAGTTTCAGCAGCAATGGTGTTGACTTTCTGCAGGATGATAAGGTTGCTAGCCTCACATCAAACCTTCCCTCTTTATCAAGCCTACTACTGACTAGCCGAAGGAGTGAGTCAGCCTGGGAATCAGCCTCTGATTCCTGACCACAGCCGTTATATATCACATCTTGCGTATTATATGGTATGTAATATGATAGTAATATCGACGTTATGAGTATAGATTTCGGTAAGGAGGGAAAGTCAATCAATGAGGTTATGAAGCTATATCGATTGAGATGACTAGGACACGTGTTGCACATGCTCAGCTATCGCCGTCCTCAACGAGCAATGTTAGATGAAATAGGATTAGATTAGAAAAGAGTTGAGGACCGACTGGTCAAATTAAATTCATGAAGTATTTAACAGCTGGTTTGAGTGAGTCACGTAGGGAAGTATAGACTGGCTGATTGAAGACTTCGAGATGCTCAGGACTAACAGTCGGAAAATACTCGTCCTCACAGGCTCAGATGTATTCAGCCTGTACCATCTTCCATACCCATTGAACTCTTTTTTTCAAAGTTACTATACTTTCTTCCGTACACTTCTGTTCATTTTAGCTTCTTTGGATCTTTTCTTCGCTGTTTTCTCTACTATTGTATGCTACATGCAATTGGGCAACTTCAACTCCTTCATATATATATAGCTTAAAAATCCCCATTGAGTCATATGAAAAAGAAAAGACGTTCAGTGAAGAGACTCTTTTCGGCGAATTCATTCACATAGCGCTGTACAATCCCATTTATATAGAATTATTTTTGTATGTTGTATATGAGGTTTGTCAAGTTTAGATAATTGATCAGGTAATACAAGAATGATCTAATATAGAAACAAGATTAATCAGACAGCAACTAAAGTAAGATTGAGTTAGTTAGTAAGTTAGATGATATAGTATAATTGACCAAAATGTTTCAACTTAGGTCAGGATAACAACAGAGGTAATTACGGGTAGAGACTAAGTAGAGGTGGGGTAGAGAATAATGCCATTTAAATTAGAACTGAAATTGAGCAAATAAGTTGGATGACGGAACATAAGTGACTAGAAATTGAGTGTTGGTCAAGTTAGTAACAGTGGTAGTGAGGTGTAGAAATGACAACTGTAAAGACAAAATAATACTAATGAAGAGACAGAAAAAAAGATTAGGTAGAATTTGCTTGTCGGGTAATAAGATAGATTACATCCATTGCAAGTGTAGTGATTGAACGAACTTCTGTATGCAGAGTTCATGACTTAGTAAGTGAGTTACCTTTGCTTCTGCAGTTTGAAGAAGTCTGATTCGTACACCTTTAGGAAGACTACTTCGTATTCTGTAGATGACTTTGAAGTTTGTTTAGGGTGTAGCTTTGTGTCTGGAATCTATCAGACGTTCTAAGATAGAGCTGTATGGGGCATAGATCTTCTCCTTTGTAAAACCACTGTTACTGACTTGAACAACGCTCAATTTCTAGTCATTTGTGTTACGTCATCCAATTTATTTGCTCAATTTTAGTCCTAATTTAAATGGCATTATTCCCTACCCCACCTCTACCTGCTATCCTGACCTAAGCTGAAACATTTTAGTCAATTATATTAAGTCATCTAACTTACTAACTCAATCTTGCTTTAGTTGTTGTCTAATTAACCTTGTCTCTATACTGGATCCCACTGTCTTGGAAGTAGTTCAAAATAAGACGTTTAAACCAACTGAGAAATGGATCAACTAAGTGAAGTAATAACCAGCTAACTAACTAATTAAGAAAATCAATTTAGACACTAATTAACCACAGTAGGCTGCATCTCATATTTCCTTTGTCTAAAAGGCGAAGCACCTGGGCTAACTACCTCTTATTTTATCTACCAAATCAACCATCACTGTAGAGCCAGTTGCATTGACTGTTTCTCTGGGAAGTTAACTTTTCGTTCTCAAGAACATCTACTAGTGTGGCTAAATCGAAGTGTCGTAAAATCCATCAGCACTTCGATATTAGGCCACCTGGTCCAAAACCAGCTGATAAAGCCAGAATCAAGGAATGTTTTTTCAATCATATAGCAAGTACCGAATAGACTGGCAAAGGCCTCTAAATATTGAAGATTTCAAATGACAGAAACCATAGTAATTCTCTTAAGGCAATCGAAGCTCTGTGAACAAAAGAAACAGGTCTAGCCTCCAGAACTACCTAACCTGCTGAGGTACTTATAAATTCATATATTCTGTAATATTTTTCTTTTTTCATTTGATCTTCAATTTAGTATTATACATTTATAGGTGTTAACATTTACAGATGACTTTGAAATGTAATCTAATTTAATTATTTTGGGCATATAACTGTAGAGCCTGATGAAGGAATCATCGAAAAGAATATTCTTGGTTCACCAATCAGTCTTAATGCTTACTCGCCAATCGCACCAACAAATCACGTTTCAATTCCCAGCCAACACACTCTGAAACGTCACTTATTTTCCCAGGTGGGTCAGTAGGCTATAAGCTCAGAAAAGAGGGAAGATTGAGCTACAGGATAGCGATCGCAAAGTGTGAAACCACTACCACTATTGAAGATTCACAGTATAAAGCTTGAAGTCCCATATCCCACTTGGAGGGTAAATTCCGTCAAAATATCAAGAAAATTAACGCAATGTAAGTGATGTAACATGGCTGATGGCGGTCAGCATTGGAAACCCAAACGTGCATTTCATCCTATTTTTGACTGGTCAGTCGTATGCACCTTCATTCCTATTAAGTAATGTTAATATATAAGCACCGTTGAAGCATCTGTACTAGGGGCTGACATGTCAACAGAAACGATTGATCAGTCAACAAAGGGGAAATACAAGATATTTTCAAAGGTTAGTTACTAGGGTTTTGATTTGTTTCAAGGTTTAGCACGGATCGATATTAGTTAGAGGTCTATTGGAAACCATCAGTAAGTACTGGAGAGTTGTTACGACCTAGTTGGGGACTCTTCAGTATATGCAACCACTGAATTTCGTATCCAGAACCTATCGGTTACAAGTCAAGCTAACTCGCAGTTCATTCAGCCGCTGGCACCTAACTCAATGGCCAGCTCATGAATTCTAACCTCCACGAATTCGTGATCTTAGCGCGATCACTAGCCAATGTCATCTGTCCTCATTCCCGACAGGGTGGACACCCCCATTGGTCATGAATTCTCGCCATTAGGTTCAAATCCCACTGGGTGCGTACTGTTGACGAGTCCAAAACCAGGACGAAATGGTTGTCCGTTACTCCCAGCTAGTTTTCAGCGGCTCTCCAATAGATATCAGTCTGTGTTCATACTTGAAACAAATACACGATAACTTGAAGATGAAAAACAGTAAACTGTTTTTACCTACTTTTCTTAAACTGTTTACAGGCTTTAAAACCATATTATAGGTCAACTGCATTGTACATACAACCCATAGCAGGCACACACACACACAAATATTTGTTAGCAGAAAAATATTAGATAAAAAATTATTAGAATTCGTTGCGTGTGTTAGCAACACAAAAAAAATGAAACAACTTACAATGTTAGACAAACAAGGTCGTCAGACGATCGATATAGTATTGGAGCTGCATCAACAAAAATGGCTGGAGAAATGCTACACAAATATTGTGCTAAGTCGCTGCCTTGCACGACTCACAATGTCACCCAAAGTAGGATTATGTTGGGATTAAGTAAGGACTTGTTACAACAACAACAACAAAAATAACACCGATTTAAGAAGTTTGAGAGAGGTTAGTCTCAGTCACACAAACACACACACACAGACAAGTGAAGAATGTCTGAATGCAGTTCTCGAGGATCAAATAAACAAACGAATTCTTGAAAATGACAAAGACGTATTCAGTAGATATTGTCTTTCAAACAATGAATATATTTACCATTCCAATTGATAAAAAAGACACTCTATTCTCGTTATTATTTTCTAAGTGTGATAACCTGGACTAATATATAAAACCATATACTACTGCTCGGTTGAGATGAGCGGCTGCATACCACCCCTGATATCAACCAGCAATACTTGCTAGCCACCACCGGAGGGCCGTTTCGTTTTTCTGGGGTCGAGCTCATGTACTAGGATTTAACTCAGCTCAGAGAGGCGAATCGGTTCAAATCCCCGACTTTCTAGCTAACCACTTGGTTGAACTGGTCATACCACAGATGAAATTTACAATTTGCAAGTAACACAGGTCGAATGGTGCATCATGGAAAAATACAGTGTTGTATAATAGTCTACGGTGATCATCATACTTTGCATATCTATCTCCAAACATTATTATTGTTTCCTTTAATTCCTAGAGGAACATAGGGCTTCAGCCCCAAGTCTCCATTGCGTTCGGTTCTCTGCTAGAGTCTTCACCTAGCTCCAAGTCTGCCAACACGTTTTCATCTCCTCTTCACATGACCTCCTCCAAGTCACCCTTGCACTGACGACCAACTCGCCGCTTCCCTTTCGGGTTCCACTCGAGCAATGGCCTGGTGTGTGCTGTCACTTGATAGTTTCCTTAGAGTATGGCCAGCCAATCCATCTCCATTTCTTCCTGCCTATTTGTTTCACAATCAGTTCCTGCTAGGTTGGTTCGCTCCAATAGATCCCTCTTGCTGATCTTTTCTGGCTGGCCATTTGATCTTGAGTATTGAGCGAAGACAACTGTTAATAAAGGTCTGTAGTTTGTCTGAGATGCTCTTTATGACGCGCAGTGCAAGTCTCTGATCCGTCTAGTAACACTGACTGACTTAACATTGGAGTTGAAAATCCGGATCTTATTTTCATTTTCATGCTGAGTGCTGTTGACCTCCACACAGACTTGAGAGTAGTGGAAGCTTGTCTTACTTTCCCGATCCTCACTTTGGTATCCTCGTCAGTTCCGCCTGTAGTTGAAACGATGCTTCCCAGGTCGGTTGGTGAAGGAGGTTGTTTCTTTCAGGTTCCTCCCATTTATGCTTATTATTGTCTGTTGTTGTTGTTGCTGTTGGTGTTGGTCAGGAATCTTCATCACCTCTGTTTTCTCTATGTTCACCTGAAGTCCTATCTTTGATGCTTCTTCTGCTAACTTGTTGCTTTTCGCTTGCATATCTTCCAGTTTTTGGGAAATTAGACAGATATTATCGGCGAAGTCCAGATCCTCCAAGTTTTTTGTGTGAGTCCATTTTATGCCTGCTTCCTCATTGCCCACTGTTTGTCGCATTATCCAATCTACTGCAATCAGGAAAATCATTGGCGATAGTAAGCAGCCTTGTCTTACTCCTGTCCTCACTTCGAAGGATTGATATTGATTACCATTAATACACTTAACTGCACATACTGAAGATCAAGTAGCCAGTGGACTGGAAAGCATTAGCAACAGCTAAATCTAGCATTACAATGCACCAACTAAGAATCTATCATCCAACAAATATCCAGAATGAAATGGAGATGGATTGGACCTACTCTGAAGAGACCATTAACTGACGTCACACACACTAGACACACTCTCCAGTGGAATCCAAGTGGGAAACGACGACTGAGGGTCTGAGGGTGACACAGATGAGGAAAGCTTATAAGCAATCATGAAGCCAGCTGAAAATGACTAAAAATAACACAGTGAAATGGTGGTATGCCATTGAAGCCCAATGTTCCTCCAGAAACGCAAAAGAATGATGATGATGACAATGGAAACAATACCTCAAATGTCGTATATCACTCACTATCAAATTCTTCATCTTTCACAAATCAGTATGATTTCAGCACCGATTTTATCAGCATCAATTCTAGACAGGACTCCGTGTTAACATAGACAAGACGGAGGTTATGAAAATAACCAACCAACCAACAACAACAGCAGCAGGAACATCCAGCGCCAATCACCATCAACGGGGGTGGGGATTTGAAAGAGGTTACTTCTTTCACTTATCTAGGGAGCATTGTCTCAACTACAGGAGGAACCGACGAGGATGTCAAATCGAGAATCTGGAAGGCGAGAAACACATTCATCAACCTGAAACCAATCTGGAAATCTTCGTCACTCAGCATCAACAACAAAATTCGGATTTTCAATACAAACGTCAAGTCAGTCACTTCTTCTATACGGATCAGAAACTTGGCGGGTCACAAAGAATATTTCCAACAGCCTGTTGCAGACCTTTATCAACAACTGTCTTCATCGCTCTATACTGAAGATCAGATGGCCGGAAAGAATCACCAACAAGAAACTATGGGAACAAACAAAACAAGAACCAATCGCTCAACAAATATGCAGGAGAAAGTGGAGATGGATTGGACACTCGCTGAGGAGGAGGCCGTTGGGTGAAATCGCGCGTCAGGCCAGTGCTCGAGTGGATCCCGAAAGGGAAGCGGTGAGTGGGACGTCCAAGGGTGACATGGAGGAGATCGTGTGAAGAGGAACTGAAACAGTATGGATTAACATGGATGCAGGTGAAAAGTACAGCAGAAGACAGAAGCAGCAAGTGGAGACGTGCAGTTGAAGCCCTATGTTCCACTAGGAACCCAAGGGAACAATAAATAATAATAATTATTCTAGACAGTCTATATTTCAAAGTTCTGCTTTCATCATCAAACTTAACAAAACCATGGCGAAAATTTACCAGACAAAAAGAAAACAAAACCACAAACAACCACTTACCTCAAAGTAGAACGTAATATCAAATCTTGAGATCCTTTCAATTTTCGTAGACCAATAACATCATCACCACCTGATGAATCATATAATCCAAGTTCATCACCATCAACATCAACATCATCGTCATCATCATCAGCATCACCAGCTAATTTTAAATGTTTCGCCTTATTAATATACGCTTCTAAATCTTGTATACGTCTTTGTAATGCATTCATTTCAGCACGGGAACATGCAGCATCATCTAATGCTTTATGCACATCGAATTGAGCTTCTTCAACTCTTCTTTGTGCCATTGTTGCTTTTCGTGTTGCTTCACTTTCTTCTTGTTGGGCTAAACGCAGTTGCCGGGATAATTTACGATTTTGTTCACGTACACTAGCCTCGGAAGAGATAAGTTTATCACGTTCATTGGTCAACTGTTCAATTGATTCCCTGGCACGATCAAGTGAATATTGGATACGTGTACGATTGGTGATTTCACTGTCTAAACGTTGATCCAGTTCACGTATTCTAGTTTCTAAGCGTTCTAATTCACTACGAGGAACCTATAATAATAAAAGGGAAGAATAAATTTTTGAAAAAAAATAGATACGTCGCTGGTCTCAACAGTAGAATGCTTGTCAACCAATCAATGACCAATAGGTGCAGAGCGCACTCTGGCCGCCCCCAAGCTGAAGAACTCCTAAACCACCTTGCTAAGTCAGTAGCAAACCATTCAGCCATTGAGATTCAATCCAATGCCTCATGGATTTCAACTTCTGCCAATTTGCGATATGTATGCATAGCGCAACCATCAGCCAACGCCATAGGTGAGTAACTCATTTCTTGCCTGACTGGTTAGACACCATCACTGTGGCTGCAACTTCTCACTAGAACTCCAGGTAACTTTCTGCATAGAGCCAGTCTCTCCAGTGAGTATCAGATTAATTATCGAGTGTTGGTTTTGTGAGGATTTCATTTTTGTTATAGATTTCACAACACAAGATGACATCAGTTGGAATTGAAGGACAATTGGATCAGGGTCCCAGTGTCTGAATGGTCTACGAGCACGTCTTGTGACCCCCATCGCGTGCGTACTGATGAGGAGTGCCAAGTTGGGACGAAATAGCTGTTCAATACTCCTGCGTTTCCTTTTGGTTCTCTAAATGATGTCAATTCATAATCATATATATAATTAAATAATACTCTAGCATACAAGTAACTTTCACTAACTAATGCGACTTCAATCATCAAGAACAGTCTGACACACAAACACACATCCACGCTGAAAAACGAAATTATGGGTATGTAAAAGTCCCTCTTTTCAATAGGGTTTATTCCACAAAGCATATAGTGGTTTATTTGCCTACAAAATAAAGCAACTATTAAGTATTGCCATAATATCTAATAGGGTTACTATTCAAAATATCAACACAAGCTTGATATTCGAAGCGTTGAAGATTAAAATATCAATACAAACCAGTGTTTCTACGCACACATACACGGGCAGATATGGGAATCGAAAGTAATCATTATTGAAGATATCTGGATATTGGTCATTTATTTCGATTTTGGCATATCTCAAAGCTTTCCTCTCTCTCTCCCTCTACTCTGAGTTCCAGCTTCAGTAAAAAGAGATATTGAGAAAAAATCAATTAAACCAAACAAGTGCACTGTAGAATGGTCATCTCTTTTTCCTGAGGTTCCTGAAGCAGAAAGAGCCCAGGGGACAACTGCTTGAGGACAGTCACAAACGGCCTGTTTGAAACGGTTTCAATATTTGTTTCCGTATTAGTAACTTACCTCCAGCTACGGACCACTGTAGAGTAAGTTGGGATATACAATTTCTGGGGTCTACCTTTTCTAACGCCCATTTCCAAAGTGCAGAGGCAGCATAGCCAGCATTCTGGTCATTTGAGAGAAACACCTTAGTGCTGTCACGTTCCCGTTCCCCAGAAGTACGACTTTGCCCATACACACCCAGCATAGTTTAAACATCGATTCTTTTAGTGTAATCGCTGTTACTTCTACATGCAAGCCCGACCAACATGTCAGGGTAGCAACTACCGGTTGGCTATCGACCAAAGGACATGCGTACTGCTCAACAGTTCGCTATGTCCCCCTTTGTGGCTGTGAGACACAGCCAGTGAAAGCGGAAGATGTGAAAAGACTATAGATATCCATGATCATATGTGTCTCCGTTCTACCGCCCGTGTAATGTAGTATAATACGGTGAGTAATATTGAGGTTAGGCATCGATCGAGTGCTAGGTAAGGAGGGAAAATCAACCGAGGATATGTGTTACACACGCCTAGTCATCAGCCCCCTCGACAGGCAGTGTTAACTGACATACGATTAGGTTGGAGAAGAACTAGTGGTAGTCAAACCAAAACATAGAATCAGTCCATGAAATCTTTAACAGTTAGTTTGAGCCACTTAGGAAGGTGTAAGCTGGCTTCTTGAGTGGAGTCCTAGGGATGCTACAAACCAGTAACTGGAGGCACTTGATGAAACGGCACAAAATCGTTCTCCATGGTCCAGATACATTCAGTCTTTTTGATAGGACATATCCGAAAAAACCCACTGTTTTCCACAGTGATTGTCACACCGTAAAGGAGGAAGGACTGTTGGAGCTGTATGTACATAAATTTGGTATACCATAATCTTTAATTCTTTATTTGCATATCATTTGCAAATTGGTGGAATACCACCATATTCGACAACTTGTTGGATTCTGCACAGTGTTTGTAACGTTCTTCTAACAGTTCTCTTCTTCGATTGCTTTTTTTCTAATGCCCAAAGCATATTGTTACTTTTTCTGAATTCATTTACTGATATACTACTTATATCTGATTATAAGTAACACTCATTACAATACTTCCAAATCTCTTTTTTTCTCTTTTGTCTTCCTTTGTGTCCCATATGGAGTGTGGCAACCCGAAGCACTACAATTCTGTGCAAAGTGTGATGTCGGAAACAGTCAGTAGGATGGTCGTCAAACACACACAAGACGTCTGAGTCCTGTTCCCAGCCGATACACACCTAAACCTCACCTGGCTCTGGTAGTCATCTCAGAAAAGAGGAGAGGTTGTGCAACTCCATCCAGTGAAAAAACGAATAACACCATCGTTACCAAAACTACAAAAAATGTAACTCAACAGTGATCCCATTCAGAATAAAAATTGAATGAAAGCAAATGAAAACAAGCAAATTAACTTACCTGATCTATACTAGTTGTATTAATTTCTAATTTTAGTTCATCTATTTGCGCTTGTAGTTTCTTTCTTTCTATAAGAAATGCATTGATTTCTTCCATTTGTGCTTGAATTGTAGCCTCATTTACAGTGATGTCAGCTAAAGCAACAGTCAGTTTATCACGAGTTTCTTTATGCGCATCTTCTTGATCAGCTAATTGATTTTCTAACTCATTAAGTTGACGTCTTAAACGAGACAGCTCTTCTTCAAACTGTAAGTAAGATTTTAAGAATAAAAAGATGAACAGTCAGCGTGAATCCATTTACTTACAAGGCGATTAAAGAAACTGAATTACTGATGAATTCTACGCTAGAATTAAGGCACCTACATAACTTGAAAATCTAATTATAAAATATTAACTTTTTTATTTTAGTTTGACTCCACACTGTTTTTTTTGATACAAGTATGGAATTTTCAGCATGTGATATCGATAGCCCAAATTTAGCAGGCCGACCATTGATATCAGGTGTCCGTCGGCCGGGGATCGAACCCCGGACCATGTGCATGGTCGGCGAACGCCCTAACCGATGTGCCACCGACGCACAGATATAATAGAGAAGCTTCGTAGATCAGGTGGATGATTTTGATGTCGTTGTATTCTCTGAGCTAAATGGTTTGCTTGCGAAGCTTTCATTCGTCAGAGCATTCTTCGGTTTGAAGTGAGCTTTGAAATTTCTCCACTAGTTTACTAGAGATGTCTCCTGGTAATCTTGAATGTGACTGGTTGTTTTTGTGTGTTTGCTCATTTTACAGTTCACATTATATACTTCGTTTGGAAAGGAATTAGTGATAAAAACCAAGGAGGAATTACCCAGCAACGACGAACACCTCCCGCAACAATCGAATTGGATGGAATGTATAAACCTTTGTCCAATAACATATTCGCAATTCAACAGGCATATATATCAACAAATTAAAGGAACACCTCTATGGGATCGCCCACATCAGGTCTGATTGAACAAGCTGTGATGCAAAGACTTAAAAGCATAATTCTACCAGAGATCAAACCTGAAATATGTTATGTGGATGACACATTCGTGGTAATCAGAAGAAATGACTTGGACAAAGCTCACAACTTAATAAACATCTTCTACGAAATCAAATTCACAAGGGAATAAGAATCTGAGGGCGAATTCCACCTTTTGGACGTCTTAATCAAGAAAATTATAAACTCAAGTATACAAAACCGAACACCCAATCACAAGAGCACCAACACAATAACACACAAAAACAGCTGCGTATAAACATTATTCAAGAGAGCCAGGAAGCATTTCAGAACTCCCACCTTGAGGGAAGTTGAAGAAAAATATCTTGTGGACGTCTTCCGAAAAATTGAATATCTACAATAGTTCATCAAAAGACATCTACCCACAACTCAACCAACCAAATCAGAGACCCCCAACGGAAACATAAAGAAAATCGTCTTATCATATATAAAGAACGTCTCAGAAATCACTGCAAGACGATTCAAACCTTTAGGAATTCATGTTGCACACAAGCCAACGAAATCATTTCACTCGGCTTTATATCGACCGAGAGAATATTAAAACCAACATCATCTACAAAATAAATTCCAGCGACTGTGAAAAACACTACATTGGCCAAAGTGGACACCCCCTTCATCTTTACATTGACGAACATAAAATGGCCGTCAAAAGACACAATATCCACTCCCTGATAACACTGCAGACAATCACGGAAATCAATTCGACTGGAACAACGTTCAAAAACTAGACAGAAAAATACTGAGATTTCTAACACTAATGTCAAGTTGGTCAGTGCTTCTAGATTGTTAAGACACTTGGTGTGCATGTCAACAAAAGGTTTTTACCAATAGATGCCTTCTCTGGATTTGTACTGAACATCAGATGGCTAAGTGATAAGGAACTCTGACAATAAGACTGTCAACAACCTACTACCCAACAAATATGCACGAGGAAACATAGATGCGTCAGAAATACACTGAGGAGATATCATTGAGTGACATCACACGCTAACTACACACCATCGAGTGGAATCCGAGGGTGGCATGGAAAAGGTTGTCTGTGGAGGGTATGAAAGCTTACGAGAAATCGTCGAGTCAGACGAAGAAGAGTGCACAGAATAGGATGAAATGGGGATGTACTTTTGAAGCCCTATGTTCCACTTGCAACCCAAGGGAACAATAATAGTGATAATAAATAATAGTCACTATCTGGTTAGCAAATATTACGTACAAATATTGACGTAAATAGTTTCCAACTACTTATATATGAATCAGTAGTATCAGATCATCTCGCGAAAAACCTCTTCTTAAATCTACTGGCTTCATGTTGATATCAACATGAAATTGTACTATTATTATTATTATTATTATTATTATTATTATTATTATTATTATTATTCCTAGATCTCTTGATTATGTCCAAAGAGTGGTCAATACTAGTGTTAACTGTCTGCAGCACCCAACGAATAACACCGCCTAGACGTTGACATTGAGAGTCCTGTGAACGAAATTCATAAATTCAAGCTCCAGATATATAATTTTTCACCTGAATAAATAACGACAGCACAAACGATTTTTTGAAATAAAGAGTAATAAGTTAGGCTTATATTAAATACTAATGAAATACCCGTTTTTGTGTACGAAGTGCACTTGTCAATTGTTGTTGCGTCTCCTCCAGTTCGCTTTGTTGACGACGTTTCTGACGGTTTGTTTTGTCGTTTGATTCATCTAATTCATCGATCTAAAGAATGCAAATAATAATAATAACACTATTAATCAAGCTACCATCTAGCATAAAAGTATGAAGACAGATAAACAGAATGGATATCCAGACTATCAGCCAGACATACACGCAATTGTTTGCATGAAATTATATACTACTGATTAGTTGAAATGAGTAGTTGTATACCACTTATATCACCAACCAATTATTCTATGAGCGCTAATGATTACTAACCAGTTTGCTCAAAGCGAAATAGGCTGACGCGGGATTTCGAAACTCAGACCGACTGGTTGAAGTAGTGGAGGGTCCAAATCAGTAAACCACAGGATAGATAGTTGTGGATACCTGCACAGAAGCCTGTGTGCATCTGTTGAACATATGACCACAGTTTGAAGCAGCACAAACACACACACAGACAGATGACGAACATTTTACATCTGTTTGTCTGTTTTCGACATAGAACTTTGCACATATGTGCGACAGTTCAAGTCGCCACACTCCCTCCTTGTAGCACACAAAGCAAGAGAAGAAAGTAGGAGAAATGCATAATATAGACAGTAAACAGAGGTGTGAGACAAAGGTATAGTAATAACGAAGAACAAAACAATTTAATTCGAAATCATAAGTCACAAGGAGTGGATGCATCTGCACCAACCATTGAGAACGATTTTGAGCCATGTCACCAATTGTTTCCAACCATTGGTTTTTACCGTCCCGAGGACCCCAACCAGGAAGCTAGTCTACACCTTCCTACGTGGCTTAGACTAACTGTTGTAGATTTCATTGACTGGTGCCATGTTTTCGTTTGACCGCCGCTAGCTCTTTCCCAGCCTGACCCTATATCAGCTAACATTTCCCGTCGAGGAAGGCGATGACTAGGCATACGTAACACATTTCCTAACCATCTCAGTCGATGTAATTTCACAGTCTCGTCGACTGATTTCCCCACCTTACCTAGCACTCGACGCCTAACCTCAATATTGCTCACCTTATTATACCACTTCACGCGGGAGATAGAACGCAGGCACCTATGATCAAAGACAGCTAATCTTTTCATGTCTTCCACTTTCAATGGCCAGGTCTCACAGCCATAAAGGAGGACGGAGCGGACTGTTGAGCAGTACACACGCCTTTTGGTCGATAGTCGGATATCGCGTCTACGCCAGAGACGGCGTAAACTGGCATATGCGAACCTAGCCCTCTGTATTCGTACTAAGATTTCGTCAGAGATCAACCCGTTGGGGCTGATGGTACTTCCCAAGTAAGTGAAGTGGTCAACGTGCTCTACCACTTCACTCCCTATCTCTAATCTAGGAGTCAGTGTAGTCCAATCCTGTAACATCATCTTACATTTGGCGGGAGCGAATCACATGCTAAATATTCGTAGATTGCAGGCAAAGTGTTCAGAAGACTCTGCATTTTGTCAGCGTCCTCGCCTAGAAGGACAATATCGGCTGCATACTCTAAGTCAACGAGATTATTCCCTGGTAGCAAGTCAATCCCTGAGTCTCTGAAGTCAGTTAGGATTAAGTCCATTAGTAAGTCTATGATAAAGTTGAATAGGAATGGGGATAATGAGCACCCTTGACGGACGCCACCCTACTTCCACTGTGTCGTACAAACTGTCAAAACACCTCATGGACACTAATGTCAGGTTTTGGTTCTATCACTCTTTCTGTAGCTAATTTATAACTTAATCCTACGTTAGTTAACATCCCTCATCGCGTAAGGAGATGATTCGGAGTGCGTGAAATGTGTCGCGGCCATCTTAATCAACTCACTTACCCTCACTATCTAATGCTCTATGTCTAATCTCAGTATAAGTCACTACATTGTACCATTTAACAAAGGAGAAAGAAACCAAACATCTCTGGTCAGATACAGCTAGTATTTTCATATCTCCCACACTTATAAAGAAGGACAGAGCGAACCACTGTAAAGTAAACTCATCCTTCGAGTGAAAGCTGAACATCACATCTACACCAAACACAAGGTAAGTTGGTGTCAAATGCCCAATGAGCCTTTCGCATCCATGCTCAGATTTCGCCAGCAATCAGTCAATCCACTAAGGTTGATGTAAATTCTCAAAATAAGTCAAGTGGTCCGACTTGCCCTATCTTTAAACCGAAGTTCGGTTCAAGCCAGTCTTGCGCCATCATCATCATTATCATACATTTGACAAAAGCATGCCACTTATTTTGGTGTGGTTGTGTTCTCTGAGCTGGATGGTTTGGTTGCGAAGCTTTCATTGCTCTACTGAGCAACATCTTCAGCGCATACTTCGATGTGAAGTGAGCTTTTAGAATTCTCTATGAGTTTATTAGTCATCTCTTCTAGTAACCCTGAACGTGATTGGTTGTTTTCGTGTGACATTTCATCCCCTAGTTTGCTTGTCTCGGTGCTGGCTGCTTCTTTGGTCTGAATGTCGTTAGTCATTCCTTTTGCTAACCTTGAACGTGATTGGTTGTTTTTGTGTGACTTCTCACTTTCTAGTTCACTTGTTTTGGTGTTGACTGTTTCCTTGACCTGAAGTTTGACTTTGTTTTTGTGTGAATTTCTTCGTATGGATTGGTATATTTTGTCAATCTCTATGTGTCTATTGATTGCTGATTCATTTGAATACCAGGCCTCTAGGAATTCTCTGGCATTTTTGCAGTTCCCTTTGTCTAAGATTTGAACATTGTCCCAGTCGAATTGGTGCTCGTGGTTGTCTGCATTTAGTGATATGAGGGAGTGTATGTCGTGTCTTTTGACAGCTAGTTTGTGTTCGTGAATGCGAAGACGAAGAGGGCGTCCACTTTGACCAATGTAATGTTTGTCGCAGTCGTTGCAACTTATCTTGTAGATGACGTTAGCTTTGTCTTCTTTTGCCGCTGAGTCCTTTGGTTTACATAGGACTGAGTGTAGTGACTTTGTTGGTTTATGAGCGACATCGATTCCAAAAGGTTTGAATAGTCTTGCAGTGATTTCGGAGATATCTTTTATATATATATATATATATATATATATATAAACTCATAGAGAATTCTAAAAGCTCAATTCACATCGAAGTATGCGCTGAAGATGTTGCTCAGTTGAGCAATGAAAGCTTCGCAACCAAACCATCCAGCTCAGAGAACACAACCACACCAAAATCATCCACCTGAGCTACAAATCTTCTCTATTATATCTAAGCATGCCACTTACTATGACTACTACGACGACCACTGCTAATTACATAACAAGGTATTCTCCGCTGGAGAATTTCACAGAAATGATTAAAATCCATGGAAAAACTTACCCGATCACGTAACTTTCTAATTTGTTCTTTATAATCATCACAATTAGAAGTTAACTGAACAATGATGACTTCTTTTTCAGCGAGAAGATTTTTCATTAATTTCAGCTCTTTTAACAACTTACGTTCTAAATAATGAAGAGAAAACAAAGCCGTATAACTTAAATATGTCTGTCCAAGGTATAGAAGAAGAAAAAAAAGTCGTTATGATTTCTGTAGACAAAAGTATTCAAACGACAAGGATAATAATGGCCTGATTGCTAAATCGCATAAGCAGTTGCTACCTATTCACACAACAACACTCTGGCTTGTAGGAGAATGAGTTCATCAGAAGTATTCTATATCGGGAAACTTACGGAATCCTTCGAAGTGAGGACAGGAGTAAGACAAGGCTGCCTACTATCGCCAATGATTTTCTTGATTACAGTAGACTGGATAATGCGACAAACAGTGGGAAATGAGGAAACAGGCATAAAATGGACCCACACAACAAAACTTGGAGGATCTGGACTTCGCCGATGATGTATGTCTGATTTACCACAAACTGGAAGATATGCAAGCGAAAAGCAACAAGTTGGCAGAAGAAGCATCCAGAGAAGATAGCACTTCAGGTGAACATAGAGAAAACAGAGGTGACGAAGATTCCTGGCTAACAACAACAACAGACAACAATCAGCATAAATGGGAGGAACCTGAAAGAAACAACTTGTTTTACCTACCTGGGAAGCATCGTTTCAACTACAGGCGGGCGGAACTGACGAGAATATCAAAGCAAGGATAGGGAAAGCAAGACAAGCTTTCATTTCTCTCAAGTCTGTGTGGAGGTCAACAGCACTCAGCATCAAAAATAACATCCGGATTTTCAACTCCAATGTGAAGTCAGTGCTACTATACGGATCAGAGACTTGCACTAAGCGCCATAAAGAGCATCTCAAAAAAACTACAGAGCTTTATTAACAGTTATCTTCGCTCAATACTCAAGATCAGATGGCCGACCAGAAAAGATCAGCAACAGGGATCTCTGGCAATGAGCGAACCAACACAGCAGGAACCGATTGTGAAACAAATAGGCAGGAAGAAATTGAGATGGATTGGCTGGCCATACTCTGAGGAAATCATCAAGTGACATCACTAGACAAGCCCTCGACTGGAATCCGAAAGGGAAGCGGCGAGCCGGTCGTCAGTGCAAGGGTGACTTGGAGGAGGTCATGTGAAGAGGAGATGAAAACGTGTGGGCACACATAGAGTCAGGTGAAGACTCTAGCAGAGAACCGAACGCAATGGAGGCGCACGGCTGAAGCCCTATGTTCCTCTAGGAATTAAAGGATACAATGATAATATAATAATTCTATATCAATAGATCACTATTAGAGTACTCGCCAACGAACCATGTGGTCCGAGTCTCGATTCCTGGTCGACTTACTTCTAAACCTCGCTACTAAGCCTGTAGTAAGCCTAGTAAAGAGAAGGAAGGTTGAGTGTAAGGCTAGCTACCACATCCTATAAAATTAAAACAACTGCTACTAAAAATTTTCAAACTATAGCTTGCTATTCAAAATGTATTAAGTACAGATGTAACAACAGAAGACCAGGGCCAGGCAACAGATCGTTTATTAAGGAAAATCAACAAATATTTATAGATTTTAATGTACATTATTGTAGATTATTATTAGTAGAAAATACAGTCTTTTGATTGGTTGTTTCTCACAGAAAGTTAACCTTGCATCTCTTTGTGGCTGTGTCAGATCATCCATATGCTAACTGTATCCGCCTACGCAAAGCCTTTGTTCTCATTTTCTCACCACCAATATCGGGGACATAAACATTGACGTCAATTACTGTCTACCAGCTTTGGCTAGCAGCCAGCTCTCACCACACAGAGACTATTTCGAAGCTATGGTCTTCAGTCGCACGGCCTTATTCGTCATTCTAGTTACTATCTACATGCTTACCATAACGTTATTCTTACTGTTCCCTCGGGTTCTGAGTGAAGCATATCTCCACTTTGTCTCATTCTCTGTAGTTCTCTATAGCTGGCCCCTGGATTACCCATCAACTTTCATCTCCTCCTGATACGATTTCCGCCATGTCACATGTGGAAATACGCCCAACTTTTCGTCTCTCACTCGAGCCATGAACTGGGGAGTGATGTTTTTCGATGGTCTCCTCTGTGTGTGTGTGTGCTTAATCCATCGTAATTTCCCCCGGAATATTTGTTGAACAGTTAGTTGGTTATTGGTTGGTTTGTTGCCAGAGTTCCTTGTTGTTAATTCTTTCTTGTCGGCCATCTGATCTTCAGTATGGAGCCATCGATATGGGCAGCTATTGATAAAAGTCTGTCACTTGCTGGAAATCCTTTACGTGACTCTCTGACCAAGTTTCTGACCCATATAGAAGAACTAATTGACTGATTTAACATTGGTGTTGAAAATTCACAACTTTTTGTTTATTTTGAGTGCAGGAGTTTTCCTAAATTGATTTCAAAGTGATGAAGGTGTACCTTGCCTTTCCGACCTCAACATTCACATCGTCATCCATTCCGCCTGTAGGTGAAACCATGCTTCCTATGTTACCTATCTGCTTCTTCTGAGAACTCGTCAGTTTCCACCTGTAAGTCTTCGAGTTTATGTGACATCCGACATAAATCGTCCTCACAGTCCAGGTCTTCTAGAGTCTTCTTATCAGTTCAGCATATTCCTGTCTTGTCACTTCCCAAAGGGAGACGCATAATCCAGTCAGTCCACCTGTGCTTATCATATTTATAAGATACTTCATTTAATAATAATTATTATTATTTGCTTTATTCCATAAACAGTACTTGTGATACAGAATGGAATTCTCAGCATTTTTACTACAGTATTGCATCCAGTTAGTACATGATCAATAAATAGAATTCTACATAGATTAAGGAAATCTCAGTTCATTATTACAACAACATATTGGCATGTCGGTAGCAAAGCCAAAGTTGAACAGTGTTTGAAGGTGTTAGAAAAGTAGGTGCTGTCATATTTACTGGCGTAGGCGGAAGAAAGAAACAAAGCAGCACATAACAGAAAATAAAAAAGAGAGAGAAAAGGAAAAGAAATAAAGAAAATGTTGTACCTATAAATGATATGAGTTGGAAAGACGAGATCCAGTTTTACTACTGACTATTTAATGAATTATAGGTGTCACGCCTAATGCTTTCTTTATCGCACAGAACACGAACTAAGTAGGGTATGGTTGAGTTTTTGTACTTGCTAGTGGGAGCATATAGTATTCCTATATAGGCTTCTGGTTTTGCCTGATGAGATTCAAGGGGAGAGCTGTGAGTGAAGAGGGTGGTGTGAGTTAGATAAAATGGATTTGGCCCATTTTTCACAGGAGTCCATGTGCCTGTCGACCAGAATATTAACAAGCTGGTTAAGTGGCACGTTGCTTACCCGGTTGCTGACAACCTTTAACATCCTGCGTAATATGTTATAGTCTTTCTTCAGTAGCCCTGGGAGAAACTAAGGGGGAACAATAGAGAATAATAGGCAGAATGCGAGAGTTAACGAATTGTAGGAGTAAGGGTTGGGTAATACCAGAATGTCTTAACTTCTTGATATAGAAGGTAAGACGGAATATTTTCTTAGAAATCGTCAAGATATGAGACGACCAGGAGAGATCAGCAGATAGAATGACGCCAAGATATTTAATTTCAGACTTGGTTTCTATTTCAGTGCCTTAATTGGTTTTAACATGCTTATATCAAAGTTAATCATCTAATGCACCATTCATATATATGAAAACAATTTCCATGCGTAAAGTCAAAAGTTAAAAATGTGATAATCAATCGCCTCAACTTACCCATATCATCATCATTAGAAGTAGTAGCATTTGCTAACTCTGTATTCAGCACTGATATTTCCAGCTCCAACTGATGCTTCTCTCTGTTCAATCGAGCATTCTCTTGCTTTACACCCTCCAGCGTCTCTTCCAATTGTCTCATTTTAACTTGATTAGCACTACGCGTCGCTTCATAATCTGTTTCATGTTCATCTTGTACACGAAGTAAATCAGCACGTAACTTTTCAATTGTTTTCTCCGCTTTCAACTGAGCGCCATGAGTAGTTTCCAGCTCTTTTTTTAAATCATCTAGTGCATTTTGTAAATCAGTAGTCTGTAGCGTTAAAGAATGATTAGTCGATCGAAGTTTATTCACCAGGGTTAATAGGTCTTCTGGAGCATTCGGGTATAAAGCTGCATAGTCTGTTGTTGATGATGGTTCACCATCGTTGTCACAATCATCTTTCTCTTGAGTTTTCTTTACAGATTCTAATAATAATAAATGTCGTTTTTCTGCTAGCTCCAACTTTGTACTGATCACCTATATGTGGGAAACAAACCAAAAAAATAGAAAAGAAATTCACCAGTGTGATTAGAAACAAAATATAAAAGTCTAGAAAGCAATGAAATATAATTTAGTAAAATATTTTAGGTGTCTGTGGTATAGCGGTTAGGACGCTCGCCGACCATGCACATGATCCGGGGTTCGATCCCCGGCCAACGCACTCCTTTACCTCGCTGAGCCAGAAATAATGCTGGTAAAGAGGAAAGGTTGGGCATGAGGCTAGCAACCCCATCCTGTAAAATAAACACTGCTACAGAAACTTCAAGTCACTAGCTTGAAACCCTATGTTCCACTAGGGAACGTGAAGGAAAGAAAACATATTTTAGGCGTAGATGGTTGAAATAGATAGCATAGCTGTCTTGCTCGTTGTCTGACAGAAACCCCTTACTGTTGCTGGCTTAAAAACAGGGCAGAAGTACTTTAGACGCTGCTCCTGCTGCTGTTGTTGCTGTTTCACATCATAGTACTGCCCCCTTCGTAGACAAAGAGGCTAATTATGTTCGATGTACCTACCTTGACTACACATTTGTACCCAAATGCCGTCTGTTAAATAGGCTTTCCATTTCAAAAACCCAGTCGTAGGCTGTTAACTGTCGGCAATCTTATTTCTGCAACAGAGTGCAGTATACTGTATATAACGGTAAATCTCCCTCTTCCTTGCTGACTGTAGCTCGAGTACCTCAGAGTGTTTTTCTGTCTTTTTTTCTTTCTCCTTCCTTCTAACATGACTTACCACTCTCGGATGTAATCAACTTCGTTGAATACGCTGGTGATCTGACTGTCTCGTTGGCAGATAAGTCCCTATCTGGCAGTTCTAAACTTAATAGGTCCATGCCAGGTCTTATGTTAAATCCTTCTAAATGTCAAACCATTAACTTCACCTTTAGGCATAAACGTGACCTACAAGAACTAGTCGGTTCACGTGACACTTGTAACATAGAGGGCACTGAAATACCTTGGAATGCTTCTATCCTCTTACCTTTCTCAGACATTCCATATCTGGTCGATTTATATAAGAAAATCTCCCATCTAACCTACTAAATTAAGAAACTAAAACTATTTGGAATCACTCAACCGCTGTCTCTTAAAATTTCTTAACTCGTGTATCTTACCTACTGTAATTTACTGCTCTCCCTCTTCAGTCCTTCCTGGGCTACTCAAAAAGGACTATGTCATATTGCGAAGGGTATTAAAAGTCGTCAGTAGGGCAAGTGGTGCACCACTGTAGTCGACAGACATCTGAACTCATGTGAGTTACTATGTTATTAGCAAAATAAATGGCTCTTTTATTCTCTTGTATTAGTAATCTACGATGACACTATTTCAGTTAACTTATAATTTTAGCTACTAACATTATTACTATTATCCTATGCTTGTACATTTTTAACTTTATTGTCACTGTAAATACCAAAAAAGTTGCTATTATCAATCCTGTGATATAATTTTTTTTATTATTTTTGTTTTTGTTGATGTAAAGGTAATTCCTTGCAATATTGTACCAAATGCTGAGAATTCCACGCTGTATGATAAGTACTGTTTTGGAATAAAGCAAATTATTATTATTATTACTACACATTCATCAGCAGTATCGCTCCACCCTCAGACCCGCAACACTGTAATGATTAGTGCGTTTCGTCTAACTGCTACACACCAAATGACGATTCTTGTACGGTGGGACCTGAAGGAACATTCGTTTCAGCCAAGGTAGTCTATCGGAATCATTGAGATAAGCAAGTCTGACCACAACATCAAGAGTTATTTAATTGTTTACTATTTTATTTTCCAAAACATATTTATACCCCACCACTAACATACCTGCTAGTCTTCACCTTCATCACCACGATACGTATACACACATCAATTCAACTAAAAATCATCAGTATATTATTGCATAGATGACATGTTAACAAATACCTGGTTATCAAGTGTTGGTATGCAGGGTCTATATTGGTCACAGATTTGATCACCAGTTTACATCAGCTAGAGAACCGTTAGAAAGCCAGCAAGGAGTAGTGGACAGCTGTTTCGTCCAAGTTCAGGGCTCCTCAATACTACGTCCACAACCAGGGTTCGAACCCAGTAGGTTTCATCCACAAGATGAGCTTGTAGACCATTCAGCTACTGGGAACCAATCTAATTGTCTATCAATTCCAGCTGATGTCCACTCGTGGTCAAAACAGTAGCCAATCAAGTCCCAGCAAACCAACACTTGATAATTAATCTGATGCTCACTAGCGACTAGCTGCATATAGGATGATGTCTGGAGTCCTAGTTAGAATTTGTTACCAGTGGAGGCCACCATGGCAGGCACGAGAACAGATACTTGCCTGTGGCATTTGGCTGGCGGTTGAGATAAGTATCGCAAGCTGGTAAGAGTTAGAATTCATGGTCTACAGAATCGTCTTGTGACCTAAAGATCCTGGGTTCGAACCCTAGTGGTTAGTGCATACCGCTGAATAGTTTTAAAGTGGTACGAAACAGCTATCCAGTACTCGCCGCTGGTTTCCCAACCATTCTCCAACTGATATTAACTACTGTTCAAATCTGTAACCAGTCGAACCCCTGCAAACCAACATTCAAATATTCCGCATGTATATATATTCATATTTATGCAATATAATACAAAATAATACTTCAAATATATAAATATATGACTGACATACAGTCATCTCTATATTATATAGTATTGTACAGAGTTTATTTTACCTTGACAAGTTGTTCAGCTTGTAGACGATTTTCTTCAGCCAATTCTAGATCAGCTCTAGCCCGATCACAATCCTGTTTATAACGTATATTCTCAGTTGTAAGCGATGATAATTGTGCGGTTAAATCATTTGATGAATTTTTCAAGTCTTCAATACTTTTCAATGCTTCAGTGTATAGACGTTTATATTGTGCTAGTTCATCTTCACTTTCTTTCAATTTTGCTTTCAATTTTGATGGTGACAGTGTATTGTGATTAGCGTTTTCATTATTCATCTAAAGGAGAAAAACATTGCAATGTACAAAGCAGATTAATAATACATGGTTTGATAAAAAGGTGGTCGGCATTTTCTTGATAATATATGGGATATGTATACATCCACGAATTTGATAAAAATTTTTTTTAAAAAGACATCTGGAGTCAGTGGTGCAGCTGTAAGATGCACACCAACTGCACTAATAGGTTCGCAGTGTAATCCTCAGTCAACCAACTTCTAATCCCCATTGAGCGGGTAGTAAGACTATTAGGAAGAGATAAGGTTAAGTGTGAGGCTGGCTAGCCCACCCTATAAAAAACAAAACTACTGCTACTGAAACTACAAAGATCCAGCCTGAAGCCCTATGTTCCACTCGGAACGCAAGGGAATAAAAATAATAAAATATCCAAAGAAAGAAATGCTATATTCTAAGTAACTCGAAATATCCATCCAACACGTTACCGAGATATATTGATATAGGATTTATTTTCTATAGTTGGTTTGTAAGGATTAGTTTTGTTTTTACGAGATGATCATGAATTGATATCAGTTAGAGAACCATCGAAAACCAATTCTGGCGTACTGGACAGCTGTTTCATCCTAGTTGGAGTCATTGGCAGTACGCACCCACCACCAAGGTTCGAACCCAGGACCTTCCGGTTACAAGGCAAGCTGGCTCGTATACCATTCAGCCACTGAGACCCAATTCAATGGTCAGCCCATGAATTCTGACTTCTACCATCAAATTTGATTTAGCGCAACCACCAACCAATGTCGTCGGTGGGAACTCCATTCTCAAACTTGACTGGATGGACCTCACTGGTCACAACTTCTCACTAGAACTCCAGGAAACCCTGTTCTGTAGCAAGTCACTAGCGAGTGCGTGGCGGTAGCACTAAATCATGAATTGGTAGAAGTTAAAATTCATGGACTGGCCATTGAATCGGGTCAGGTCCCAGTGACTGAATGGTATACGAGCCAGCTTGCCTTGTAACCGGAAGGTCCTGGGTTCGAACCTTGGTGGTGGGTGCGTACTGCCAATGACTCCCAAACTAGGATGAAACAGCTGTCCAGTACGCCAGAATTGGTTTTCAATGGTTCTCTAACTGATATCAATTCGTGATCAACTCGTAAAAATATAGGATTTAGTTGGAAAAGAATCATAGGCGGTTGAATAAGGAGAAAAATCAGCAGGGATAAAGATATGAAGAAAGCCAGTCAGTATAGAAAGAGCAAAACAGACCTGCTGTCACTCAGTTCTTCTACACATGGTTCGCAGAATAATTGGCGAACGTGTCACAAAAAGTATTTTCCGGGTTCCACTCGAGCGATGGCCTGGCGTGTGAAGTCACTTGATGGTTTCCTCAGAGTATGGCCAGCCAATCCATCTCCATTTCTTCCTGCATATTTGTTGCACAACCAGTTCCTGCTGGGTTGGTTCGCTCATTGCCAGAGATCCCTGTTGCTGATCTTTTCTGGCCGACCATCTGATCTTGAGTATTGAGCGAAGACAACTGTTAATGAAGGTCTGTATTTTGTTTGAGATGCTCTTTATGACGCACAGTGCAAGTCTCTGATCCGTATGGTGAGTAGCACTGACTGACTTCACATTGGAGTTGAAAATCCGGATGTTATTTTTGATGCTGAGTGCTGTTGACCTCCACACAGACTTGAGAGTAGTGAAAGCTTGTCTTGCCTTCCCGATCCTTGCTTTGGTATCCTCGTCAGTTCCGCCTGTGGTTGTAACGATGCTTCCCAGGTAGGTAAAGCAGATTGTTTCTTTCAGGTTCCTCCCATTTATGCTGATTGTTGTCTGTTGTTGTTGTTCTTGTCCAGGAATCTTCATTACCTCTGTTTTCTCTATATTCACCTGAAGTCCTATCTTTGATGCTTAGAACTTCAGGTGAACAGTAAATATATAAAATACTACTACTAATAATAATAATAATAGTAATAAAATAATACTCCTTAATTGTTGAAGTCGATTTGTATTCCCCGTTGACTGATTAAACTAAAATGTTCGACCCCTACGGATATATTGGCTTCTAGTACGAAAGCCTCAATGATGTCTGAGAATTAACACGATATTACTTGGTGGATGGAGTCATCCCCAGTGGTGGACGGTGCCTCCCCTCCCCCATTAGAATTCAAACTAGTGGAAATACCGTCACTCACTCACCAGAGTATGCAGATACATCAAGAAAATGGATGTGAATAGAACTAAAGGTGCATCCTGGATTCCATTGCTAGCCACCACCCACTAAGGAAAATAACACTCCGGAATTCGATTCCCCAACCGAAACACTCCTAATCTTCGCCTAGCCAGTAGTAAACATGGGAGGTTAAATGTGAGGCTAGCAACTACACTACTAATGAAATCAAACATTCTGTCTATAACAAGGAAATTTTTTTTAAAATAATAAGTAATCTTACCTGTTTTTCATTTTCATAATCAGATGAAAAAGATCCCATATTTTGAACTTTCTTTCGCTTATTCTCTTTGTCTGATAATTAAAAAAAAACGAGAATAACAAATAAAATGTAATTTAAGCCTTTCAATGTAGATTTCGTTATGGACCGATATCAGTTAGAGAAGGAGCACCTGATAGTTGTTTGATTCTAATTTACGAGTCTTCATCAGTACATTCCCATAAACCTACTAGAAATCGAACCCAAGGGTTTCAGGTTACGAGGCGATGATGCATAAATTCTAAATTCTGTCGATTCGCGCAGTTCATCAGTCATGTCAAGGTGAATCGGATACTCAACGTTGGTGGTAATGATAAAAATCACGACGACTTTATTTAATTAACTTTGAATTTTTCCGTTGATTGGTTGGATCAAAGTATTCAGTTGGCTTCTGTTGACTTGTCGTCTCCATGTGTGAATGCTTCAACGATGTCTAAGGAATTACCCCTTGAAGTAATCTGGTGGATGGTGACTAACAGTGGAATCCATCATGCGCGTTTCATCATACTTGGGACTCATCAACTGGATGTATCTTCATTCTCCAGTGAGTAATGGTGTTCCTACTGAAGCTAGAACCCAGTACCCATTGAATTGAATTAACGTTAAAAACTGACACCCGCTGCATAAGAGATGGCTCTCGTGGTCCAAGTAGTCGAGTGGATAACCTTCTGGCATTTACAACGATGGGTACTAGGTTGAAGCCTCAGTGGGAACACCATTACTCACTGGGGAATGCAGGTATATCCAACTGACGAGTTTGAAATAGGAGAAAATGCACGTATCCTGGATTCTACTGTTAGTCACCATCCAACAAATGACCACAACTACTGCCCAGTACTCCTTGATCATCTATGATGCTCTAACAGATGTTGCTGAGTGACGAAATCTAAAATTAGTCAAAATCCCCACAAAATTAAAAATTTGTAAGTATCAACCCTGTTTATTTTAACTTTATCTAAGAATTAGAACATAAATGTTGTCAAAGGCCAAATAATAATAATAACATTGCCGTGTAAAAATGCAAGTCAGTAAGGATTTGATACCAAGAAATTAGATTGGATCGTCAAATATGATTCTGCTACAATCAAAAATAATATACAGCACGTTTCAGATAGTGTATCAGTGGTCCAATGGTAGTATGATCGCCAACCACACCCATGATCCGGGTTCAATTTTCAACCGACATACTTCGAAATCACACATATCTTATTAAATTCCGTGGTAAGTTCGTAAAAGTTTGCGAGTGAACATGAGGCTAGCAACTCTACTGGTATGGGTAAAGATAAAACCAAGTGAAAAAATATGTCATTTTGTACCGGAAATGCTATGCGCCTGTGATGCAGGGGCAGACCCAACTAGGTCTGGGTTTCGACCCCCGGCCGACTCATTCCTCAACCTCACTTAGCCAGCAGTAAGTCCGATAAAGAGGAAAGGTTGAGAGTGAAACTATCATCCCCACCCCCATGTGGAAATAAAACCCCTGCTAGTGAAACTTCAAAGCTCTAGTTTGAAGTCCTAGGTTCCACTGGGGACCCAAAGGAATAAAACGAAAATACTAATAAATTACACATTGCAAATGAAGTTAAACTAAGTCTAAATTTGCAAGGTTGGAAAACCAACTATATGAAAAAGAGTCCCTAACCAGACAAAGTAGATCTTAGACAGCCGATAGCCAAGGATGGTAAGGATGGCTACAAATTTCTCTTTATTATTATTACTACATGAAATTATTCAAAAATAGAATATCATTTACGATTAAGTACCTTTCTCCTGAGAATCCAAGTCGTTTTTCACTGGTTCCAATGAAGCTGACACAGGTTGGATATTCACCTAATTAACACATAAAAAAGCAGATATTATTGAAGGCGCTTAAAATAATACATAAAGATGTATAATGATACGAATCATAAAAGTGGAACAATTGAAACAAAATATATCACAGAAGTTAATTTGCCTAGGTGAATGGATTGAAGCTCAATGTCTGAATGGCCTAGTAGCCTACAGATTTTGAGTTCGATACCTGGTGGGACCATGGATGTGCACTGATGAAGAGTCCCAAGGTAGGCTGTGCTTTCTTTTCAATGATTTTATGATTGGTATCAGCCGTTTACCGACAATCCAGCTTCAAGCTTAAACTATACGATGTGAAGATAGAATTCAGAAATTATTTGTTGGAAGTTACTTTCACGGGACGATATATTACACTCGCAAAAGAAAAAAATTAACGGACGGATAGACAGATAGTATTCAGAGCCATATAACACAAAGGCGAACAGGAACAGAGAGAGGGTTTTAAAAACAGTTCTGTCAGTAATGAAATATTGCCATGGTATTCAAACACATAAGTATAAGTGCGTCCGAATATTAGTTAACTCATAATTCCTAAGTAGTCGAATAATTAGCATTTTACATCTAACCTGAACAATTGCTTATTGCTCACTATGCAATGAAGACACCAATATAAGGTGGTTGGAGGCAATAGGCAAGAAGCCTTGCTTGACCTAGGTTTCGTACCAGTTGGAACTCGTCCTCAGTGCGTATCTGCAACCTTGAAGGAACTCATATCCCTTCTGAGATTCGAACCCGCGTCACCCGGTGCTGCAGTCAGAGACGTTACCACTGAGCTATTCGGGCTCGCAACTGACCTCCTGTTGGGCTGTATTGGATATTTTTGATTGCACACTGGTCAGCAACTAGTGTAATGTGTCTAATCCTTTCTTGGGTGCAGACTGAATTCTCTTAGTCAGGTTTGCAATGTGGCCACCATTCTAGGTAGCTCGTCATCACGGTGCACATTGATTTGGTGATATTAGATAGTTGGAGGCAACCGTCAGGAAGCCTTGGACTTAGGTTTCGTCCTAGCTGGCACTAGTCAGCAAGGCGTACCTGCAACCATATAATATCATCAAATCAATGTGTACCGTGATGGTGAGCTACCTAGAATGGTGGCCACATTGCAAAACGGACTGATAGAATTCAGCCTGCACTAAACAAAGGACTAGACACATTACACTAGTTACTGAGTAGCGTCCAATCAAAGACACCAATGGTTAACAACCAGTGGTCTTTTTTCCAGTTAAGTGACGATTATTCAAAACTGTAAGGTAAGAAGAATAGAATCAGTGTCCAGTATGGCGGTGTAGATATGATATCCGGCCACCTATCAAATGATATGTTCACACTTCGCTCCATCCTGCCGTATATTCGTGAGATATGACCATTGAAAGTGAAAGATCTGAAGAGGCTAGTTGCCTTCAACTACAGATCTTTGCTTTCCATCTCGCATGTTAAGCGGTATAATATGCCAAGTAATATTGAGTTTAGGCGTAGAGTGTTAGATATAAGGAAGGCAAGTCAGACGATACGTGTTACACATGCCAAGCCACCGGCTTTTCAATCAAACAACATTATCTAACATAAGATTTTAATTAGAAAAGAATGAGAAGCAGCCAGACCAAAACATGGCATCAGTTCATGAACTCTTCCATTGTTGGTTTAAGCATGCTTAGCTTAAGGATTCCTTGAACTGTTAAGAACAAATGGACTGGTCACTGCTAGTATAGCGACTCGAAATCCTACTTATGAATAAGAAACAAAGAGAATATGTATATATATGAGTGAAACGTACCTTTCTTTCAGAATCAATATTAGTGTTTAAGGACGACTGAGATGGCGGTTTACTACTTAAATAAATTTCTTTATCCATCACACTTGGTGTATTTGGCTTTAATACTATTTCTTTAGCTGATCATTTGATTTCAGAAAAGAGAAAAAGAAACAAAAACGGAAGTGATTTGAAATATTGTAAAGTAAACAAAAGCAAAATGCATATTACAGTGAATACAAAAACCACTTAAAAGCGAGGTATAATAGAGTAATGTTAACAGTAGTCAGAAGGATTAAAATGTATAATTTAAAAAAAAAACAGACACTGTGAACACAAGCAATGAACATCGCCTGATTCAGATCTGGCCAACAGCAACAACAACAACAAGTACTAGTCACACTGTCGATTAGAAAAATTTGAAGGACGACACTTGATTCATTTATCTAGGCATCGTTTCAACTATAGGCGGAAGTTACGGACGGAGATGTCAGAAGCAGAATCGGAAGGGCGAGACAGACGCTAATCACTTTGAAATCCGTTTGGAAATTTTCTGAACTCACTACGTGGAATAAAATTCGGATTTTCACCACCCATGTCAAGTCAGTCAGTGCTTCTATATAGTCCACAGATATCGAATATCATGAGAAGGCATTTCTAAAAGGCTACTGGTGACTTCCATCAACATTTGCCTTCTCTGGCTCAATAATGAGCATCAGATGGCCGATGAGCTGGAAAGGATTAGCAACAATGAAGTCTGCAGTGCAACAAACCCACCAAGGACTCATCGACCAACTAATAGTGGGTAGGAATTCGAGATGGATTGGACGTTCCTCGAGCAGACCATTGAGTGACACTAATATGGAACGACGAGATCCACCTCGGTTCAAAGCTGACATGGAGGAGATCGCATGAGGAGGAAATCAAAGCTTATGATTAATCATGCAACCAGCTAAAAAGAACTGTAGGGAACAAGATGAAATGGAGATGTGCTTCTGAAGCTCTGTGTTCTAATAAGGACCCTAGGGAATAATAACACATACATACATACAAACTCCTTAAAACTGTTATCCAACAACAGTTTAACCTAAGGATAGTTTGAAAAATCCCAAGAATGATGTACACTAGCATCGTATCAACTAGCCTATAGAACAGCCAGGTGTCTATTCCGTATCCAATTCATTTACGCTAAACAGTTTGAAAGAGGATTGTCTGTGACGTCAGAATTACCTAGTAGTTAAGTCACTGATTTCCCAAGCGAATAACGTAGATTTGCTTTTCTCGAAGATAAAATAAGTTTGGTAGAGACTAACACTCAAGAGGCTTAGATTAGTCATTGCTTTCCTACCATTACTATTGCGTGTTAGAAGTAGAAGCGCCATAGGTGTGATTTCCTGAGATATTATATAATTTATATTATCAAAAGTTTGTTTGTAGGGATTTCATTTGCTCCAAGTTTGACCACGGATTGATATCAGTTAGAGAATCATTGAACCATCCTAGTTTTGGAAAATCATCAGGAGTATGAACCCACTGGGTAATCCTACCAACCTAGGACCTTCCAATTACAAGGCAAGCGCTGCTCGTAGACCACTGAGATAGTGTGAGCCGACTCTTTGATAATCTTAGATAATATACATGTCATTTAGCGTGGTCACCATAACTTTGATTTGCCTCAAGTTCGATCACGAACTGATCTCAGTTACAGAATTATTAAAGAAAATGGGTAGTGGACAACAGCAGTAGGCAACTATGACTCCTGATAGGAGATCAAGACTAGAATTTTCAGGTTACGAGACCAGCCAGCTGACCATTCAGTCACTGGGACGGCATCCAGTGGTTTATGAATTCCAATGTCTTTTTCTATTTACTAATCACTGGTTATTTCGTTTTCGTCACCTTTCCCATTAATTACATAGAGTCTAGCTATTTTTATCAGTATATTTTCTATAAATGCTTAGACAAAGCGATAAGAACGTAATTTGTCTGAATCGTGTGTGTAATGTATTTGCGAAACACATTTCGAACAATCTGATCCAGCACACACAGACTTGTCATAGGAATATATATGAAATTAA